ATTATTATTATTATTATTGTAGAGATGAGGTCTTGTCAAATTGCCCAGGCTGGTCTTGAACCCATGGATTCAGGCAATCCTTTCCGGTTTTTTTTTTTTTTTAAAGAGGTGTGGTCTCACCATATTGCCCAGGCTGGTCTCAACTCCTGGGTTCAAGCCATTCTCCAACCTCGGCCTCCCAGAGTGCTGGGATGACAGGTACATAACCATCTGTATAGAAACCTTTATAGAAACAAGTTTGCTGCTCCTGGTGTTGACGAAGGTATTCCAGAAGTGAACAGACAGACCTTTACTATTTTCTTCTTAAGCCAGCCTGTGGAAGGGGGTTGGGGGGAGATAAGAACATTCGCTCCCCTGCAATATGCCATAATAACCTGCAATTATCCCTTCACAGCACAGGTTGCAGCCTGTTTCCCTAGCTCTCGGGCTGGTACACACCTTATACTTGTGGGAGAAATATCACAACTCATTTTACCTGAAATGCTTTGCCTTCCTTTTAAAAATGTTTCATATTTGTTATCAGATTGTTTTTATGGAGCGGGAAACACTTACAAGCAGCAGATAAGGAAAGTATCAGATTGATGAGGAGATTAACCAGGCAGCTTGTTCTCAGCAACTGTTTGCTGCTTCAGGACAGGAGGAACTTTCCTGAAAAGAGCATGGAGCGATCCTCCTGATCCTCCCAGGGACACCCACCCCCAACCAGGTGGGGGTAGGTGGGGATGGCGGCTCAGGGAAAGCTTGATTCTGAAGCATCAGTGCCCCAGCTACTGTCAGCCAGAGAGGACGTGAGTTGCCTGCTGGGGAGACGAGCTGTCATCTTTTATGCTTCTAGTTTCGTTTGGATTGTAACGACTCTTCCTGTCCTATTATTAGCTTGTTGAAAGGAAACTGGGCGCTGAACTTACGGTTAATGTTATCTTGCAAGAGTCACAGTAGCTTCATAGAGGACCCCACTAAGGGTAGAAATAGTTCTGAGAAAAGAAAAAGAACTAGCTGTGTTTGTTCCCCCTTCCCGTCCTCTTCCTCCTGTCTCCTCTTTAATCCGCCATAGTAATCTCAAGCAGCCATTTTTGTAGGCAGATAGCAGGCATTTGACATTAGTGGTTCTCAGTGGGCAGTGTCTGGGATATTTTTGTTTGTCACAATCTCATGGGTGTGGGGGTGTTACTGACATCTAGCCTGGGATGCTCCAGCTCACCCTGAGTAGCGCAGGACGTCCTCTCTGGTCCCAGATGCCACCAGTGCTGAGGCTGACAGCCCCTGATCTGGATGCTGACCATGTCTCCTTCTGTTAGGTTTTTAGTAGTCTTCTTACTTTTCAGGTTTTTTTCCCCTCCATCTTTGCATGTTGATCAGACCGTATTTTACGTCTCAGAGAATGTTCTTTAGAGGGTGTCATTGAAGCATCAGAATGTCTTCTCATCAAACATTGTCTTGTGTGGGGTACAGGGAAGAGATGGAGTTCTGAGAGACTTAGGTTTGAGTCCTTGCTCTGACTGTGAGGTCAGATAAATCTTTTTTTTTGAGTTGGAGTCTCACTCCGTCACCTAGACTGGAGGGCAGTGGCACACTCACGGCCATCCCAGTGTTGACCTGCTGGACTCTGGTGATCCTTCCGCCTCAGCTTTCCAAGTAGCTGGAACTACAGGTGTGCGCTACCATGCCTGGCTAATTTTTGATGTCTTGTAGAGACGAGGTCTTGCCAAGTTGCCCGGGCTAGTCTTGAACCCGTGGGCTCAGGCAATCCACTTGTGTTGGGATTACAGGCTGAGCTACCAAGCCCAGTCTTTTTTAAAAATTGAGTTGGAGTCTCACTTTGTCGCCTAGACTGGAATGTGGTGGATGATCATAACTTAGCGCAGCCTTGACCTGCTGTCTCAGGCAGTCCTTCCACCTCAGCCTCCCAAGTACCTGGGAATTACAGGTACGTGCCACCATGCCCGGTTAGTTTTTAAATTTTTGGTAGAGAAGAGGTCTTGCCATATTGCCCAGGTTGAACTTGAACTTCTGGACTCAGGCAGTCCTCTCGCCTCCGCCTCCCAAAAGTGTTCGGATTACAGACATGAGCCTACTGTGTCCGGCCTTAGATGAGTCTTTTAACTGAAGTCCTCTCATCTGTCAAGTAATGCTAGTACAGGTTAAGTGTCCCTTATCCTAAATGGTCGGGATCAGAAGTATTGTTAGAGTTTGGATTTAAAAATTTTTTTGGAATATTCACATACACATAAGGAAGTATTAGGAGAGGGGACCAAAGTGTAAATGCAAAATTCATTTGTTTTATATGCACATCATGCACATAGCCTGAAGGTAATTTTATACAATACTTTAAACAATGTAAGTGACCTTCACATGAGATCAGGGGTGGGATTTTTCCACGTGTGTTGTCATGTTGCATTCAGAAATGTTTGGATTTTGGAACATTTCCGGTTTTTGGATTAGGGAAGGTCAATCTATTGTGTCTTTCCTAAGTGTCTTTGTGGGTGGTTGTCAGGATAAAATGAAGATGCTGTGTGCAGTATGGAAAGTGTAGCATGGCAATGATATAACTCCCTGGAAACCAAGTGTACCACTAAAGAGCTGACCTGAAACAGGAGATAACTCGACTAAAGAATTAGCCATTACACCTCTAAGACTTAGCTGTCTGTTTTGTAGAAATGAGAGTAGCGAGCCTTAGGAAGATTGATGAACAGAGCCATGCCATGTAAGCGTCTGTGAGGCTCGTCATCAAGGAGTATGGACAACAAGACATTCTGGGAACATGAAAACCTCATAATAAAAACTAGGAGCAAGGTCTGGGTGCTGCCATCTCAGCCACTCTGTCCCCTTTCCTGGAGGTCCTAGCCCTTAAAGAAAAAGAAAAAAGAAAAGTCACATGAAAGTATTAGACAAGCACAGCCAAAACTGATGTTACTTAGAAATAATAGGATTTTTCTCTCAACGATTAGAACTGTTTCTATGCGAGGTCCACATTAGAAATCTAACAGTGTTTCTATGTAGCAATAATAACCCTATAGAAAATGTCCCCGTTCTTAGTGTCAACAAAGAGGATGTGTCGTCTGACCAGCGTGTGAGGTCTTTATGGAGGAAACCATTGTGTTTTACTGAAGGACAGAATAGAAGCTGGTTATATGATGAGGTTGATTTGAGGGCAGGCGATACGATATTATTGAGCTATTCTCCATGCTTTTTTATTTTATTTTATTTTTTGGAGTTGGGGTCTCGCCCTGTTGTCCAGACTGGGGGAGAGCAGTGGCAGCATCATAACTCACCACAGCTGCGACCTCCTAGGCTCAGGTGATCCTCCCTCCTCAGCCTCCTGAGTAGATGGGACCACAGGCGGGTATTCTCCACGATTTTATTGCCAAGGAATTGAGGCTCAGAGTGGGTTGGGCAGTCTTCTCAAGGTCACACAGCCGATTCACAGGTCTTTTTCAACGTTTTCTCTGGACTATCTTGTACTTCCTAAATAGGATTTCATGTTGATTTCTGATAGTCATTTTCCTTATGAGTTTCTTCTGAGTGATTTTTTTTGTGTCTGGAATGTAGCTTTACTAGATTCTTTTTTTTTTTGAGTTGGAGTCTCACTCTGTCGCCCAGGCTGGAGTACAGTGGCACACTCACAGCCACCGCAGCCTTGACTTGCTGGGTTCAGGCGATCCTTCCGCCTCAGCCTTTCAAGTAGCTGGAATTATAGGCGCACGCGACTATGCCCGGTTGATTTTTTAATTTATTGTAGAGACGAGGTCTTGCCAAGTTGCCCAGGCTGGTCTCAAACCCGTGAGCTCAGACAATCCTCTCGCCTTGGCCTCCCAAAGTGCTGGAATTACAGACTTGAGTCGCCACACCTGGCCAACTGGATTCTATAATACATTATTAGAGAAACATTTCTGATATTTTGGTCCAGGAAGAGGTCCAGTGCTCATGAGTTGGCCAACCCATTTTATCTTCCTTCCATTGTTCATTTTATTTTATTTATTTTATTTTTTTGAGTTGGAGTCTCACTCTGTCGCCCGGACTGGAGTGCAGTGGCCGCTCCCGGCCACCGCAGCCTCGCCTGCTGGGCTCCGGCGATCCTGCCGCCTCAGCCTTCCGAGTAGCTGGAATTACAGGCACGCGCTACCACGCCCAGCTGATTTTTTGATTTATTGTAGAGATGAGGTCTCGCTGCCCAGGCGGGTCTCAAACCCGCGGGCTCAGGCAATCCGCTCACCTCAGCCTCCCAAAGGCACGGGATTACAGGCTGAGCCACCAAGCCCGGCCAGTGTTGATTTTAAATAAGAGTTGTGCTTCCCTGGCAAATAAGAGTACCTGCCATGTTGAAGTATCAGGGCTTTAGGAAGCTTCTCATTGGCTCATAAACACTTTATATGTTGTGGGTAGACTTAAAAAAATGGGTGACTGATTTTGGGTCATTCTAACTCAATTGGTCTATTGTCCAAATGCCTACTATTTAAAGAATCTCGGGGAAAATTGCTGTGCTTTGCACATCCAGACTTCCTAAGTTGGGCTTTTATCCCTAGTAGTGTTGTTAGTAATGGCGGTGCTGTGTTGAATGTCTATAGGCTATCATTCCATTTAATCCCAACATGATGCCAGGAAGTGTCAGATATTACCGTCTCCGTTTTACAGATGAGAAAACTGAAGCTGAGAGGTGAAGGGACTTGTCTGAGGTCATGCAACTGGTTAATGGTCGAGTTAAAATTGGAACCCAGGAATGCCTGGGCTGTAGCCATTGCGCTGTCCTGCGAGGGCTGCCTCGTACCTCCTAGATATCAGCTGTCAATCATGCCCTGTTTAAAACAGAAGAAAGAAAAATCCTCATGTCTATTGGCCCGCTGATCCTGTATTTAGTAGAGGAACTAAGGTAGCTTGACTTTTTAGTGAATCTGTGGAATTGCTGTAATTTTTTTTGTTGTTATTGATGTACTTGTTCAAGTTCCTTTTGAGAATGCACATTTGTTTTGAAACCAAACCTGTCTTTCTTGCCTACATTTCAGTCAGAACTAAGACATGGTCCGTTTTACTATATGAAGCAGCCACTCACCACAGACCCTGTTGATGTTGTACCGCAGGATGGACGGAATGATTTCTACTGCTGGGTTTGTCACCGGGAAGGCCAAGTCCTTTGCTGTGAGCTCTGTCCCCGGGTTTATCACGCTAAGTGTCTGAGACTGACATCGGAACCAGAGGGGGACTGGTTTTGTCCTGAATGTGAGGTTAGTTCCTGATGAATGAATGCATTGCCTGCTTCGTTTCCTCTCCTACCTCTTTCTTCTTTTGTTTTTAATTTTTCAAATATTCCTGACAGAGGGAAGGGAGCCGTTTCTTGCTTTCCACCTGCTCTGTCTTGGCCACCCCCTTTTTTGGGGCCAACGTTGGCCATGGCCACAGCCCTGCAGCTCCTGGAAAGACAGTTGCACTGAATATTGTTTCTGTTTTTTCATGGGTCATTGGATCGCTTTGAGATCTGCAGCGTCTCTGAATCTTCAGCAGTTCCCACGTTCTGAAATGCTCTCACGGTCTTCCCCTTTCGTGGATGTTCTTCCCTGCTGCCTCGCTGGATCATCTGCCGTAGCCAAGCTGGGAAGACCAGTTTTGGTTGTGTGTTCCGAGTGGTGGCCGTCTGATGCTTTCTTTCACGCAACAAGCATTTTTTTCCTTTCTTGTTTTTTTGGAGATAGAATCTTGCTCTGTTGCCCAGGCTGGAGTGCAGTGGCACATTCATAGCTCGCTGCGCCCTCAAACTCCTGGGCACAAGTGATCCTCCCACCTCTGTCTCCCTAGTAGATGAGACTCCAAGTGTGTACCACCACACCAGCCTCCTTTTTTTTGTAGAGATGGGATCTTGCTGTTTTGCCTGGCCTGCTGTCAAATTCCTGGCCTTAAGTGACCTCTCGCCTCTGCCTTCCAAAGCACTGGGATTACAGGCAGGAGCCACTGTGCCCAGCCAGCAAGTTTTCCTTTGTGCCTTTCTGGTACTGAGGATTTGACAGTGTACCAACACAGGCAAGATTCATATTTTTTTTCAGCCGAAAAGGATGAGAACCAAAATAAATAAAGTTTACATATATATAATGAGTTAGATGAAAAGTGCTCTGGAGAAAACAAGTTCAGGATAGAAAGAGAAGGTCCAGGGGTGTGCAGGGTATTTTCGGGCCTCGCTATGATTTGAGAAAGACTTGAGGAAGGGAGGAGGGAGCCATGTAACCATTTGGGGGAGGCCTTCCAGGCAGAGGCGGCAGTGCACTGTGCGTAGGAAGGCCGTGTTTGTGCAAGCCCAAAATGCCCTTCTTTAAAACCAGTGAGCTGGGTTTCCGCTGCTGTGCGTGGCTCCTGTTCTTGGTGACCCTCAGCGATGATGCTTTTTTGAAATGCTGAGAAGAAGAATGTCATCTACAGAGTCTTTGTGTCTTGGATTCAAAAGTACATTGGAGTTCGATCCCCAGTGAGGAAGCTTTCTGTGTGTGAAATGGGAAAACTGCCCAGATGTCTTCAGCAAGCTACAGGGCAGTGTCCGTGGTGCGCTTTTGTGTGGGGAACGGAGAAGAATAAGAAATGGCCTGAAAAGAAGTCAGACGTCGGATCAGCATGGCGATGACACTGTAGCTAGCATTCTGCCCGTGAACTGGCAAGAGATGGCCCTGTGCTCTCTGGGCTACCCTGGATGGAGAAACACATAGGATGTCTTTGCTCAGTGGTGCCCTCCTCGGTGCCCAGAGCCTGACCTCATTCTACGACATTTAGAATGGGAACTGGATCCTTTACCGGTTTTCTTCCATCTTGACCAAGTCTTCCTGATTGTTTAATGATATTGCAAGAAAAGATCGTGGCTCAGATAGGACTCTTCTGCTGCAGGTATTGTTCTTGATGCAAGTAGCAGTTCCTGATGAAAGCTGGCTGACACAAAAGGGATTGGTGATCATCACCCATGGGGAGAACCCAGAGGCAGGGCCAGGCCAGTTGTCACAGAGCTAGCTCCTTCCATCTCATTGTGGAGGGGATGTGTACTTGGATAGGGAGAAAGTTCTCCTGAGAGGAGGCAGTCTCTCCTTGCATCTGTTTTTTTTTTTTTTTTGGAGTTGGAGTCTCACTGTGTCCCCCAGACTGGAGTGCAGTGGCCAGCAACCTCAACCTGCTGGGCTCCGGTGATCCTTCCGCCTCAGCCTTCCAGGTAGCTGGAACTACAGGCACGTGCTACCACGCCTGGCTAATTTTTTTGATTTATTGTAGAGATGAGGTCTCACCAAGTTGCCCAGGCCGGTCTCGTACCTGCGGGCTCAGGCAATCCACTCACCTCAGCCTCCCAAAGCGCAGGATTATAGTTTGAGCCACGAGCCCAGCTTTGCATCTGTTTTTATCAAGCAGGGGAGTTTGGCCGATTTGCCCTTGGGCTCACTGGGCAGCATTGGCTCACCAGTGCGCAAACAAAAAAGCTTTGAGAAATGCTTCTCTGGTACTTTTGGTGTTTTGGGAGGCAGGGACTACCAACCAGGAAGACAGGGTCGAGGCTGGGAAGGAGTGAATGATAGTTGGGCCGGCAGCCCAAGTGGTCACCACGGGTAGTTACCTGGAAACAAACTGGGATTCAAACAGGCAGGTGTTCTGTGTCCAACCCAGGGCCCCGAGTCTCCTCCAGGGATGAAATGCTCAGGCAGTCTACTGGAGAGGCTGGTTGTTCAGACCCTGGTAGCTAAGTAAACAGACATGTGTGTCAGGCACTGTTTCAGCTTCTGAGTGACTTGTGTTGGCCTTTTCCTCGACAACCGGCGAGACACATCTCAGAGTTCCTTTTGGAGGCCCCAGAGATGTGAAGAATGGAAACAGAATCCAAATTAATTGGAGAAAACTTTTCTCAGCTCTCCCGACACAGATGGTTAAGGCGTGTTTCCTGACATCATCAGAATTTGCTATTTTTGTTGTTGCTGTTATATGAAGAGTCTGAATCCTTAAGATATAGTACCAGATTTACATAGTGGAATCTGCTTTCAGACATCTCTGTGGGTCTCTCTTTGGATGGGAATTTCCCTTATGAAATGGTATTTCTTGCCCATGGAGACAGACAGGAGACTTTGCTTCTTGAATAGTTTGCCTGGATGTCCTGCAGCTCTTCTTGTATTCTTTCTACAGGAAGTCTGTCCCTTTCTACAAGGGAATGTCCTTGAGTTAATGTCTTGTCAGTTTCCTGAGAGATAGCCTAGAGCCTTAAGAGGACCAGGATAAGTGGTTGATAAGTCCTCATCCTGTGAGATGATCACCCTGAAACCATCAGCGGCCTTTGCTTTCATACTCCATGCTTGAAACCCAAGGGCTATCATCATGACCACTTTCCAGGTCCCTGTCTCCCCACACCTGTCCTGGATCATGTCTTCATGAGCTAAAAATACTGATAAGATAATAAATGGGTCGATGTGCTTTTGATTTTTACCCACTGATGTAGTACATTTTGTTCTGGTAGATTGGCGTCTTTGCCAAGCCCAACAGCTCGTCTCACGTCGATGAGAATCACTTTCTATGTGTGAGTTTATGGAGAAGATGGACTGAACGGGAAGTAAGTACATGGATAGCAGCTTTTTTCCTAACTGGACACTTGTACATGGTTTTGACTTATAGAAAATCACGGTCGCAGAATGCATCGAGACTCAGAGCAAGGCCATGACGATGCTCACCATCGAGCAGCTGTCCTACCTGCTCAAGTTCGCCATTCAGAAGATGAAGCAGCCAGGGGTAAGGAGAGCGCGGCTCTTGGCATCAGCGTACACGAACACGGTGACGTTTGTTTTGTTCTGTTAACGGCTTAGCTCCTCAGACACCTCACATGCTGTTCGGACCTTCGAGGGTGGCCCCATTTCCGTCTTTGTCAATTAAGCCTGATGCAGGGTGGCAGTCAGCACTGTCGTGAGCCCTCTGTGTCTCAGAGGAGTTGAATCGGGAAGTGACATGCAGTAGCACATTGGCGGGGAGCTAGATTCCGATTGGTTGTTAAGTGAAACCTCATACCCCATTGGGCAAGGGGGAGCTGTGTGTTCCTTCCCAAGGGAGTGAGTAAAATTCCATCTCATGAGAAGAGCTGAGTGCAGCACGGTTTATTTATAATCAGGGTCTGGGGATGGAGCCTTCAGGTCAAGGTCAACCAGTGAAACTTCCATAGAGGGAGAGAACTAGTCTAGTTCCTTCCATTTTCAAATGGGATTTGAGGAAGAACCTTTGCCCCTTAAAGAAAATCTTGCCGGGCATGGTGGCTCATGCCTGTAATCCCAGCACTTTGGGAGACGGAGGTGAGAGGATTGCCTGAGTCCAGGGGTTCAAGACCAGCCTGGGCAACCTGGCGAGACCTTGTCTCTACAGTAAATCAAGAAAAATTAGCCAGTCATGGTGGTACACACCAGTAGTTCCAGCTACTTGGAAGGCTGAGACGGAAGGATCGCCTGAGCCCAGCAGGTCAAGGCTGCGGTGGCCGTGAGTGTGCCACTGAACTCAGTGGTGAAGGTTACTCACACCATAGCCATTGTGGTTTGTGGATTTATCATGATAGTTTTTCAGGAAAACGGCAGAAAAAAACTTGTTTTAGAAAATGATATTATTTGGCTGGATTATAGTGTTCACGTCTATAATCCCAGCACTTTGGAAGGTAGAGGCGAGAGGATTGCCTGAGTCCAGGGGTTTGAGACCAGCCTAGGCAACTTGGCAAGACCTCATCTCTACAATAAATCAAGAAAATTAGCGGGCACGGTGGTGCACACCTGTGGTTCCAGCTTCTTGGAAGGCTGAGGCAGAAGGATCGCCTGAGCCCTGAAGGTTGAGGCTGCGGTGGCCGTGAGCGTGCCAATACACTCCAACCTGGATGACAAGAGTGAGACTCCTACTCAAAAAAAAAAAAGATACTGTGACAACATAACCAGTGCTTAAGACATTTTTTCTACAAGTGAGTCTAAATAAACTTGAGGGTGAGTCTCCCCCTTCTGATTAGCACAGAGGGCAGTTACCACCTGGCTTGCTGGTGGCCCTTTGTGAAACTCCTCAGAGTCCTACCAGGTCAAAGGAATATGCATAAACGCAGAGTCCCAGGCATGCATTTATTTATTTACTTATTTAGAGGCAAGGTCTCCTTCTGTCGCCCAGGCTGGAGTGCAGTGGTGAGATCATGGTTCACCATAGCCTTAACCTTAACCCCCTGGGCTCAAGTGATCCTTCCACCTCAGCCTCCCAAGTAGTAACCTCCTGAATAACTGAGACTACAGGTGTGCGCCACCGTGCCCACTGAATTTTTTTTTTTTTTTTTGAATGGAGACTGAGGTCTCACTGTGTTGCCCAGGTTGGTCTCAAACTCCTGGGCTCCGAAATCTGCCTGCCTTGGCCTCCCAGAGTGCTGGGATTATAAACATGAGTTACTGCGCCTGGCTGCAAAATCTTTCTGTCTGCATTTTCTCTCATGTGTGAAATATCTGTTGGCTCTTTTTGTTTTAGAAAGCAGGATTTATTTAGAAGATAGAAAGGCTCCCACAGTGGGAGGGGGCCCAAGGAAGTTGCCCACCTGTTGGCTCTTAAGGGACTTTCTTTGGTGTGTCATCTTGAGGTGTAGCTGGATGCCACTTTGTCATGAATTTTGATTATGAGCTTCTACGGGGTATAGATCAGCCTCGTTCAGAGCCCAGGTCTAATGTGACTGATAGTGTATTATAATTATCCATCTTAATGTAAGAGAATAGGACCTGTTACTTGGGTGTGTATTGAAAACCAAACAAATAACAAAACCAAATCACAATTGAGTTCATGATTATCCATAAGCAGATAAAGTTAGAAAGTGGACCAACTTGGAGCTCCCAAGGTCATCTTTTGTGGAAACCTTCAGCGCTACATTGTTTGAAAACTTGTCTCCATTTTTCTTTTTCTTTTTTTTTTTTTGAGTTGGAGTCTCACTGTGTTGGCCAGACTGGAGTGCCATGGCACGCTCACGGCCACCCAAGTGTCGACCTGCTGGGCTCAGGCAATCCTTCCGCCTCAGCCTTCCAAGTTGCTGGAACCACAGGTGCATGTCACCACACCTGGCTAATTTTTTTGATTTATTGTAGAGACGAGGTCTCGCCAAGTTGCCCGGGCTAGTCTCAAACCCACAGGCTCAGGCAATCCACTTGCCTCGGCCTCCCAAAGTGCTGAGATTACTGAGCCTGGCCGTCACCATTTTTTAAGTCATTTGCTGATATGAACACTTGGTCTTCACGGCAGTGATGGTTTTGTTCCTGTGCGTGTCTTTTCTTTTACAGACAGACGCATTCCAGAAGCCCGTTCCACTGGAACAGCATCCTGACTACGCAGAATACATTTTCCATCCCATGGACCTTTGTACATTAGAAAAGGTTGGCCTCCGTCAGAGAACCTCACCGTTGTAGCCCATGGTTGTGAGATGACTAAAGAACCTCCCTTGCTCCCCATGCCCCGTCTCAAGTCAGATGATTTCTCTACGTTTTCCTTGCTCCATTTTAATGCAGATAGAATGCCTCTTGATCCTCTGACTTCTTTCCTCTGTAACATTCTCCCAAGGTTGCAGGGGCGTGTTGAAATTCGTTGGTAACACTTCTGCGTGTGATCCTAACCTTTTAACCTGAAAAAGCCATAGGTTCTAAGAGTTAGTGACCCGATCTTCTCTTGCTTTCGGAGGTGCTAATGAGAGCAACAGGAAAGAGGAACAGAAAATGAAGTGTCTGGGCAGCCCCTAGATTAGCAGTAGAGATGTGGCTTCTTAGAACTTGTTTTACTGAAAGAATATTTCTTTAATGCCTGAAGGTGTTTTTAAAAGTTTACGTTCAATTTCCATGCTGAAAATTGCACTTCTAACTCTGTAGATCGTGCATATCATCCTGGTGCTGATTTTCAGACTGCTTACAGCAAAATATGGGTAATGCAGTACATCCGTGAGGAGGAAGCATCATTTGTTATTATCTGCCTTGATAATCCCAAAACAATAAATCCAGTCTGTTTTAGAAAATTCCACCTCCCTCATGGTGTGGTGGGAAAAGTCAGGCATTCAAAAGAGATAGGGTGGAACCCTTGCTTTGTAAATCAGTAGCTTTGGAACTTTGGACATGTTCTGTTATATCACCATACCTCAGTTTCCCCTTCTGGGGATGATAATAAATATTTAATTGAGTTATCATCACTTTTATGTGTAACCATATGACTAATAGTCAATAATATATAAATATATAAAATGCCCTGTTCATTGGAAGGAATTGCTTGTAACAGGACAGATGTTATAAGATGGGAAAATTCAACATATTGTGGTAATTTCAGTGAGTGCCTTTTCATAGGGTTATAGATCTCAAAAATAATAGCATGTGTTAGTCTGTGTTCCAGGTTAAAATAAAAAGCGGCATCTGGGGAAATGGTAGAAGAGCCCTAATTAATTTGGCAAATGACTGCTAAGAAAATGATGTGTGCACACAAGTGTTACTGACCCTGGCTCGTCTAGATTCGCTGACGATGCGCCGTGGCTTCTCTTTCTAGAACGCTAAAAAGAAAATGTATGGCTGCACGGAAGCCTTCCTGGCTGATGCCAAGTGGATTCTGCACAACTGCATCATTTATAATGGGGGTGAGTGGCCCAGATGACTCCGGAGAAGGAGAGCATACTGGGTGTGTCGCACTGATTCCCACCCTTCATGAAGAATCAGGCTCTGAAGCCCTGCCTCAGGGCCGGTAACTGAGAGTGCCTGAGGACAGGTTGCTAATATGTGTGAAGAAGGGCATTGACTTCACTGACATCCCAGTGGCTCGAGGCTACGTGGTGTGACTGCCTCTTGCTGTTGTTTCTAAAAATCTTACTTTATGATAGAGGGATAATTGCATAAAATAAAATGCACAGATTTCATGTTTGCATGTGATGAATTTGACAAATGCATAACCACAAACCCAAATAAGAACATTTCTCTCAGCCTGTTAAATCCCCAGTTTGCCATTTCCAGTAAACCCACTCTCGAACTAGCTACTGGTCTGTTTTCTGTCATGCTAGATTGGATTTGTATATTCCAGAGTTTCATGTCAGTGGAGTCATAGAGATTGTGCCCTTTTAAGTCGAGCTGTTTTACATAGAGTAATATTTTGGGGTTCGTCTATGTTGTTGTGTGTTATTAGTGGTTTGTTGCTGAGGGTTTTTTATGCAATCAATATACCACAGTTTTTCCTCATTGATGTCGATGGATACTGGGGTGTTATCAGCTTTGGCTGTTGGGAATCAAATGGCTGTGAACTTTTTCATACAAGTCCTCTTGTGGATATGTGTTTCCATTTCTCTTGGGTAAATACTTAGGAGGGTATTGCTGTATCGTTCAGTAGGTTTATATTCAACTAGATAACATATTTCACCAAACTGTTTTTACAAAGTGGTTATATCATTTTACACACAACTAGCAGGGTATACAAGCATTCTAGCTGCTCTGCGTCCTTGTCAACACTTGATATTGTCTGTCTTCTAAATTTTGGCCGTTCCGGAAAGTGTTTAATATTATGTTATGGTGGTTTTAATGTGTCTTTCCCTAATTGCATGTGATATTTAGTGTCTTTTCATGTGTTCATCAGTCATTTGTTTATCTTTTTTGGTAAAATACCTTTCTTTTTTTTTTTTGAGTTGGAGTCTCACTCTGTCACCCAGACTGGAGTGCAGTGGCCACTCGCAGCCACTGCAGCCTCGATCTGCTGGGCTCCGGTGCTCCTTCTGCCTCAGCCTTCTGAGTAGCCGGAATTACAGGCATGTGCTACCATGCCTGGCTGATTTTTTTATTTTATTGTAGAGATGAGGTCTCGCCAAGTTGCCCAGGCGGGTCTTGAACCCGTGAGCTCAGGCAATCCACTCACCTCAGCCTCTCAAAGTGCAGGATTACAGGCTGAGCCACAGAACCTAGCTGGTAAAATACCTTTTCAAGTCTTTTGTTCATTTCAAATATTGGGTTCTTTGTGTTTTTATTATTGAGTTGTAGGAGTTCTTTATATTCTGGATAAAGCTTTCTCAGTTCGCATGTAGAGGGCTGAGCCTTTTAGCACAATGGGGAGATCTTCTTCCACCACCCCTCCTTCTCTTCCAGCCTTCTTGTCTTCTGGTCAGAAGTATCCTATCTCAGTGCCCTGTTTCACCCATTGCTCTTGTCCCAGGTCCTCTTGTGCTCAGTTCCCCTGCTGAGATACTCTTCCCTTCCTTGCCTTGATGACGTCCCTGCATCCTTCAGTCTTAGCCTCCAAGTCCTCTGGGAAGTCTTCCCAGATGTCACAGATCATGCTAGATATTCTTGTGAGGGACTCTCACAGAGTCTGTACCTCTGCATGGTGACTCCTAGCAAGCTTTTAAAATGGTGCTGTTTTTATATGTTTGAGTTGCTTTCTAGAATGGAAGCTCTTTTTTTTGGGGGGGGAGGAGTCTCACTCTGTCACCCAGACTGAGTGTAGTGGCTGCTCCCGGCCACCGCAGCCTCGACCTGCTGGGCTCCGGCGATCCTTCCGCCTCAGCCTTCCAAGTAGCTGGAACTTCAGGCGCGTGCTACCACGCCCGGCTGATCTTTTGATTTATTGTAGAGATGAGATCTAGCCAAGTTGCCCAGGCAGGTCTTGAACCCATGGGCTCGGGCAATCCACTCACCTCAGCCTCCCAATGTGCGAGATTACAGGCTGAGCCACCGAGCTCAGTTTGGAAGCTCTTTTTTTTTTTGAGTTAGAGTCTCTCTCTGTCGCCCAGATTGGAGTGCAGTGGCTGTTCCCGGTCACCACAGCCTTGACCTGCTGGGCTCAGGCGATCCTTCCGCCTCAGCCTTTTAAGTAACTGGAACTACAGGCACGCGCTACCATGCCCAGCTAATTTTTGATTTATTGTAGAGATGAGGTCTTGCCAAGTTGCCCAGGGAGGTCTCGAACCCGCGGGCTCTGGCAATCCACTCACCCCAGCCTCCCCAAGCGAGGGATTACAGGCTGAGCCACTGAGCCCGACTGGAAGCTCTTTTAATACCAAGTTTTATTCCCTGCAAACCCCTCGGGCCTAGTGTAGACTGTTGGCTAGTGTTTAGGGAAAGATATGTGAACAGTGGATGAGTGCTCTAAGCACACATACTGCATTATTAACTTAATAGCAGGGCTGAGGGTTCAGGGAAGAGAGAAGGGACAAGACATTGAGAATTCATGTGAAAGATTACAAACTCAAATATGTAGAAAGGCCCGTCCTGGCAAGTGAATGAGTTGAGGTAGAAGGAAAAAATGGCAGCACTAGCCAAAAAAGGCTAGGGGCCATGTGATGGCCACTGATGATGGAGAGCAGGGACCTTCTTCCTGGCCTGGAGAGGCTCCTGCAGGCAACTCCAGTGCTCTGTTGGTTACAGAGTTACCAGGTTTTCTGAGGAAACTAGGAATACCAGGAATCTAGGTATTTTTTTTGTGTGTGTATGAAATCTTCTTGTTAACAGATTTACGGTTTCTGAAAATACCATAATGTTTAAAGAAAATGTGACTTTTACTCTGGTTTAGTACGAAGGTGAAGGATTTAGCGTTTGACCTGAGGCTAAGACCTCTCATTAGCTGGGTGTTCTCATGTAAGTGATGCCTCCAAGCCTTGGCTTACTCACTGACTAAATGGGCACATTTCACACTGCCGCCTAACAGGCTTCTAGAGAGTTAACAGGACAGTGAGAGCTGCTTAGTAGTGAACTGTCTTCCCTCCCCCATTCCCTGCTTGGATTAGAGTCTGGGACAATCGGTGAATAAGGGTCCTTTGCACCAATTTGAGACTTTGAATGTCAAAGCATTTTTATTTTTTATTTATTTATTTATTTTGAGTTGGCGTCCCACTCTGTTGCCCAGGCTAGAGGGCAGTGGTATACTCACGGTTACCACAGCCTCGACGTGCTGGGCTCAGGTGAATCTTTCCACTTCAGTCTTCCAAGTAGCTGGAATCACAGGTGTGTGTCACCATGCCTGGCTGATTTTTTATTTTTTTGAGTCAGTCTCACTCTGTCGCCCAGACTGTATTTTTGCAGGGGCACACTCACAGCCACCTCAGCCTCAACCTGCAGGGCTTAGGTGATCCTTCCACCTCAGCCCTCCAAGTAGGTGGAACTATAGGCGTCTGCCACCATACCTGGCTAGTTTTAAAATTTATTGTAGAGATGAGGTCTTTTCAAGTTGGCCAGGTTGGAGATTTTTGGATTTAATGTGAAGACAAGGTCTCACCATGCTGCCTAGGCTGGTCTCGAACTCCTAAGCTAAGGCATTCCTTTCACCTCGCCCTCCCAAAGTGCTAGGATGACAGACATAAGCCACTACGCCCGACCCTCCAAATGTTTTACCAAATATTAATCCATGATCTCTAGGGAAGCCCCACATAAATTACTCGATTCCAGAGAAGACTGCATGGGGCGCCAGAGATGGGTTGGCTTTGATGGGAAGACTTACATAATTTGAGCCAGAAACTTTTGGTTTTTAACCTTTAAAAGCTTAATCCTACCTGTAGTTCCAGCTACTTGGAAGGCTGAGGTGGAAGGATCGCTGGACCCCAGCAGGTCGAGGCTGCGGTGGCCAGGAGCGGCCATTGCCCTCCAGCCTGGGTGGCAGAGTGAGACTCCAACTCAGAAAAAATAAATAAATAAAAAAATAAAAAAATAAAAATAAAATAAAAGTTTAATCCTGAGGGAAAGCAAGTTAAAACGTTGTTGATGGAAGTGAAGTCCCCAGTCCGGTGTTATAGTGTTGCCATTAGAATTAATCCTATTTTCTTATTCCCTTAGGAAATCACAAATTGACGCAAATAGCGAAAGTAGTCATCAAAATCTGTGAACATGAGGTATGTGTTTCTCACGGTCTGTTTTAGAGGCACCCAGAGTGATGGGCTGGGGCAGCTCTCGGTTTCATGTGCAGAATTTTCTAGTGGTACCGCGGGGATGTTAGACTCTGGAGGCACGGACAACGCCCCACTCTTACGTGATAGTAAAAGCAACAACAAAGAGGGCCCCAGTGCATTAAAAAAAGCACCCTTCCCTTAGCAGTGGTCCAAGATGGCAACGATCTTCTGTTTTTCCCCTGTAAGTCATGGGCAAGCCCTGGGCATCAGGGGTTTTCTTTGCCACCTACATTTGTAATTTCTGGCCTTGGCTCCGCAGCCTGGCGGTGCATCCGGTCCCATTCAGTCCTGTTGCACAAGAGGTTTGGGTTTTGACTTCTGGGGGGAGGCCTTGGCTGCTTCTCAGAGAGTAGCCCAGATGCCCCAGAGAGCCCCTCTCGCAGGGACAGTTTTGGTGGCCTGGGTGAACTGAGCCTCTTGGGTTTCTGGTGGTTGCAGGACAGGCTGGCAGCCAAAACGGCCTGAGAGCCTTTCTTCATTAAGTTCCTGATGCAAGAGCACAAAACTGCCCTTCTGTCCCTCCTCCCCCGCTCTTACCCTGTCCTCTTCCTTCCCCCCT